GAGAGATGTGCAGCAAAGACAATATTTGGTTTTGATGCCATTTCAGCATTACATGTTCTGCACACAATGACAATGTACAGAATGGGTTTTTAATTCAGGGTTGCATGTTACACAAACTCACGAAGGATCTAAAAGTGTATGATTTGTTTGATTGTATGCCAAGCAAACCCTGGGTAAGGCAACAAAGCATACACTAAATAAACCATGGATTGCAGTAGCATGCAGTGACATCTCAAGCATGGGCAGGTAACCTTGGCCAAATGCATGGCAAGGCTTCCTTTCTTTGTTTCTTTTCAAGCATCCACAGTTGTCAAGTATTAAGTGGCAGGAGGTATTCCAGCTTTAGAACTTGTACGTTCCCACTTCCTGAAGATATGGTCCTTGGGTTGCCTTGCATGATGGCCGTCTAAATTTATCTCTGCATAGTTATTGAAAGAGGCCTGGGGGAGAAGCGGATGAGCTGGCATGATGCCATTCAAACAGATCAGCCAACACACCATTTTGAAAGTATCAAGTGTGGCTGTTAAAGGATGAGAAACCTGGCTAGAAATACATGAAGGTTATGTGCTCATGCTTGGAGTCAGTTCCAAACATAAAAATAGCTTCCAGAGTTAGTTGTTGTTTTGGCCTGGAGGAAGTGCTGAGTTCTAGACAGTCATTATCTTTGTCTCCTGTTGGCTTCTCCTATGTAGGCTTTGCTACAATTTATATAGTTCCTGCTCCTATTTTTGCATTTGGACATTAATCAAGTGAATGAGTAAAGCAAAAAGAAAGCTCTATTTGCAGAGGCGAAGAACCTGTTTGGTCCAGCATCAATGGGCAGCTAGATACTTGTGGAGCATTACAAACACAGCAGGAAGGTAGCAGCCTTCTGCCATTGTCTGTCTTTAGCATCTGGTTTTCAAACAGGCCTTGGAAGGCAGAGGATCCCTTTATGATCACAGCTGATAGGTGGTGTAACCAATTACTATAACCCTTAGAAACTGCCACAAACAATAATGCTATGAAGAAGGTTCATATGAAAGTGAATGCTTTGCACAAAGCTGACCAAAGAAGGAGGCCTCATGCATCTATAAGGCTTCCAAATGCGAAAGTGCAAAATTCCCACATTTAGATTACAGCATGTGAGTTGCAATGTATGTGTACAAACCAGCCAGTTAGGACCTCCTTAGAGACATACACACAGACCTAGGCCCAGTTTGCATATAATGGATAACTGTGGGTTGTTTAACTTACAGTTAACCATGGCCATGCACCTACCTGTACATGCACAAACGCCTGTGCGCTTGCTGCTTCCAATTTCCTAAATATTCCAGGAATGCCCATTCCTGGGTACTTGTGATGCTGAGTAGTTAAACAACCAGAGCTAGGTTTGGATGGGAGGACAATAGCCTGGGAAACAGCTGTTCAAGAGCTCTTTAGCAAAGCAAAACTGAGCAGGCAGGCAGGAACCAGCATGCTCACTCATTCATAAACAACCCATAGTGTTTACAGACATGATGTAAGATGATCCCTTGTTATAAACTGTACAAAAGAATTGTTTTGTTCCCTGTATGGAAAGAACTTCCATGCTGGAATCTGAGATTGTGTGAAGCCACCCTCTGATTCCTTTCAGAGTACAGAACCTGAATATATCTTCTCCATGCTCAGCAGGCTTAGCTACAGCATGGCACATCGTATTATTACAAAGACATAATTAAGAACATTTAGTTTATAGACTGCTCTGAGGCTGTGAGGCCCACCTTCTACTATGTACGATGGCAGTGTGTCCTACATTTGAAAACATCTGCAAAATTGTATTAGCACAGTTGAGCCCATTGAGATATCAAGGGAGATGTTAAATGAGGATTACATGTTCTTTACCTAAATACCATAGGAATAAAGCCACTGCTTGACTGCAGAACACTGTAGGCCTATTTGTATTTTGCTTTGCGTTTTATCTCCTGCACACATTTAAGAGTGACTTCTACATTATAAATACATGGGGTAATTAGACTTTACATTAGTGGTGCTTGC